TCGGTACGAGGCTTATGAACCAAACAATACGTTTGAATAATACTCGTGCGTTTGGAAAATGTAGAAGCATAAATTGTGGGAAATATGTTTTCGGTGGACTTTGCTCAAACTGGCAACATGCTGTCTGACACGCCCATCCCGGAAACAAAACATTGTACCCTGGTGAGGCACGTGTGTTCTGAGAGGTGCGCTAAACTAGCTTAGCAGGAAATCCAACAGCAGCACAAAAGCTACAAACTCTCCCCGCAGCGTTTAGCTGTTCCCTACTGATTCAAACAGGCCTAAAGCAATCGCAACACAATCCCCATTTCTCCAGACCATCATTCTTACTTTGTAAAAGAAAACAACCGAAACAGAGAAGCAAAGTCCGACCCTAACCCCGTGATGACGGGATGCGTCGTCATTAACGGACAATGCATATAGTCAAAATCAATATAATTAACACAATGACAAGAACAAACTCACAAGAACCAGTCACATATATTTATATGACAACAAAGCAACAAATCAATGCAGCAACACTGCGGCGCTAAAACACATATTCCACCGCACACTGAAGAGCACAAGCCATTCAAATATTATTCACATCAGAGGGAACAATATTAACCATATCATAAAAACGACACCATAGACAAATGAACACAGTAGTAAAGCTACTGCAGATGTAAAAACACAAGCAGTTCACTTACCAAAGCTGCTGTTCACTTAAAGACAAAGCGAACGTGTTCGTTGAGTTGTAGATCCACTCGGGTCTCAGCAAAAGTTTTCAAAAGCACCGTAGCTTGTAAGTGTCCTGCCGTGCTTCGGTGTCGTGTTGCTGCCTTGGTTAGCGTAGCGTAGCTCCAAACACCAAGACGCTCAGTTGCAAATAAAACGCATTCCCAGCCATAAAATGCGCAACTGTCAGCCAGAAATACCGTTCGTACAAATCCTTTTCCATGCTGGGTCAGGGCTGCTAGCTGTGGGGTTGGCCGACCCTTTCTTACGATGTCCATCTTTTTCTGGAAATGTCCTTCTTGAGAAATCCGATTCTCCTCCTTCAGCCATTGAGTGTTCAACAAATAGAGCTATGTAAAAAAAAAAGAAGCTACACCAAGCAAAACGCTAAAAATGTCATAACTTCTCTTACATATGTTTCAACTTGAACTCTTACTACTACTACTAACTTCTGCAAGGTGCTTCAGTGTCACACTAGCCCACTGACCAATCACGGCGCACGTTAATGCTGAGCCAGCCACACGTTATTGCTGACGTACTTGTAGGCTACCTAGGAAGCTCTAACATTCAAAGAATACGCCCAACATCGTCAAACTAAAGATCTGATTGGTTGAACACTATGACAATCAACAATATCGTCCCCATTCACTTAAACTGCAAAGGGAATCACTTGTGAGTCTGCAGGCCTCGGGCCTCTCTTCTTACCTAGAGACAGAGAGGTGAAATCTGATTGGATAAAAGCTCTACTTAAAACAAGCTGCACTGGAAGCAGAGCAACTGAGGAAGACAGTAGCGGTGCAATGGGAAAATAAGATAATGGGAAAAATAATTAGAATACATGTAGTGTATTTATGAAAAATGATTAAATTATAAAATAGCTATAACTTTGTGATTCTGTTTAGGCCAGCAGAGAAGGCCTTGCAGGCCCCGACAGCTCACCACTGATATATATGTATGTATACAACATTAATAAATACTTCCATTCATTAAAGCTGCTTTGGCAGAATTGGGTATTTTTGACCCTAACCCTTAAAAACAGCACATATTGGTATTTTTAAAAAGCACTGATTCAAACAGAAACATAAAGCACTGATCTGAAGTCATCACAAACACATTGACAAAGTGATGCAATATGAATGGTAGAATGTGAGATATGATAAGAATACCTCTGGGGTCTGCGGGCCGACGGTGGGCTGGATGAGGCTTAACTCGATGTCAAAGCGTTGTTAAATGATTCAACACTGTGGTCCCTCGTTTCACGGGGCTACACTGGTGGCAGCACGGCAGCGGCAGGTGACAAAGCTGTCAATCACAACCACTGCATGAAGAACAGAGCTGTCTGAATCAGCTTTAATCGGTCATGCAAATACAAGGCAGTCGACTAAACTACCATCAATCCAGCTTCTGATCTACATATTATAGGAATTTTAAAGGAAATTATAAAGTTATGTAAACCAGACTGTATCAGCACTTTTTAACGTTCAGTATGCTGCTTACATTTGTCATATATTTCTTCAGAATGATGTAACACATCTGCTGCCTTCATTAAAGATATAAATACAAAGTTATCTCACATCTATTTGGAACGAGCATTGCTTCTCAGTGTTCTGCCAGCAGCTAAAGGTGAACATTAGTTTGTCTGATGGACGTCATGGATGCTCTGGGATCTGATGGATAAACTTCTGTTAAACTGTGACGAGGTTCATGAGACATAAGCAACAAAATAGATTTGATGATTCTACTGTTTTAAAACATTGCATTTAGCATTTTACACCTTCCTTTCCCACATGTGCCCTCTATTGTCACTTGGTTGTCGTGTGACAAGGCAATCATTGTCTGATAATATTTTAAACGAACATGACATAGTTAGGGTCGGAATGTAATATACTATGCAGAAGTAGAGTTTACAGAGTGAATCTTCAGCAGACAAACCTGCTATTTGAATCGAAACGCTTTAATAATCTGCGCGGCTCTCATTACAAATCAAAGATCCCCCACAATGCCAAGCAAATGTAGTCTTCAATATAATTGAATATTAGGGCAACAGAAGATCATTTACTCAGTTATATTAGAAGAACCCCCATGACGATGTCAGGGCGAACACAGATGGCAATATTTCACCAGTAATAGAAGTTTTGCTGCATTCATGTGCCCGTCAGAGAGACTGGAGGGAAATAAAGTAGGTATTTTAGAAAGCTAAAAGATTTGGGACCCGAGCCCCAGAAGCAGAGTGGCCAAAGAAAATGAGAAACAGCTGTTTATTGATTTTGCAGTTGTTGCACTTTCAACCTTAAAACCAGTCTTACAATATGAAGCGCAGTCATTTCACTGTGAAGATCAGTCCTCTCTCTCCGGCTCAGGCTCTTGAATAGTAGAATAGTTGGCTTTCATGATTCCTCCTGAGCCTCCACTCCTTCCCTCTTCCTGGCTGCACACTCTGTGATTATTGGACACTGAAAAATGATTAACCTCCCGCCGACGGTTCAGCCGTAATAATTCACCGCAGCTGTTGGAATGTCCTTGTCGAACATGTGCACAGATAACTATTTCAAATGCCAATTAGCCGCCATGTTTTCCATATTTCCACTTGGCTCGGCGTGTCGCGGGGACACGGCTCTGTACCAGATGGGATTGACTGCAGCAGCTACTGGTTTACAAAGAGACTTCACACAGAGACACACTTCCCTTTCACTTCTAAGAGCATGAATGTGACTGTCCTGTGGGGAAATTCACAAGTTCTCACCATAATGCCGTAGTTCTGGTATTTCAGGCATTAATCCGCACTGGTTGAAAACGACATGCATTCATGCAACTGCTAGAACTTTTAGGAACTTTTGGGCAGTTTTCTGGGAAAGGATTTCTTTTTGTGGTGTGTATTCTTGCCCTGCTGTTAGTTACCTTTCCTTCTGAAGTAACTGATGACTGTGTATTCAGATGGTCTGGTCCCAGTAGTAAAGGTGAAAGGCATCGGAGCGTATTTTCAGATAAATGTATTTCACAGTTTCCTACTGCATCAGCTGAAGGTAAGCGTCCATGAGATCTCACAAAGCACACACATGTTACATTAAAGCATTGTACTGAACTGTATTTGTGACTATTGCAGACGTCAGAGATCAGCATACCTCTGCAGAGGTCAATGTGATTCATTTATTATCTTTGGTATTATTATCTTATGTTTTATAAACATTGCTGTGACTCTTCTGCTCCTCGATATAACTGAGAATCTTTTGATTGACATATCTTAATTTAGTATAGTGCCGGTAGATTATCTATTGATGATTACACTGATAAGATTGGGAGATTCGGCTCGTTGGGAATTATATTTTTATATTACAACTACTTGGGACTAAAGCATTTGAAATCATGTCTATCAATGAACTTGGTATTACTACGTACTACTATCCTGAATATGTGTTCCATAAATACCTGCATTGTGAAGTAGTGGAATATAATGATTAAATAATGTTGGGGTAATTTATGAAGAATATTGTGGTCCTTTCAAAGCAATTTCAAGTACATTACCTGCTAATTGTCACCTGCTTACCATGACATTTGTAGTCGTTACCAACTGACTGTCTTAACAATATAATATAATATAATTCAAGACACAACGGAAAGGCAGTCAAAGCGGCTGCAGTGAATATTTTTTATTTTATTTCTAGTGTTATTTGTGTTTAATGTCAATCTACGGTACATTTCATGTCTGTCTGTATGTATATATGTCTATATGTATGTATATATGTCTGTATGTATGTATGTATGTATATATGTATGTATGTATGTATGTATATATGTATGTATGTATATATGTATGTATGTATGTATGTCTATGTATGTATGTCTATGTCTGTATGTATGTATGTGTATATGTATGTATGTATGTGTATATGTATGTATGTATGTGTATGTCTGTATATATATGTATGTGTCTATTTATTATACACTGCGCAGGTGTGGCTCTTGATATGCACCACAATTCAGATCTGATCATCAGATCGTCTTCAATGCAGTGACTGAAGATATAAAGAAAGCTAATGTCTTGGGGCTTCAGGGAGCGCCGTAGTTCTATATGTAGATTAAATGGATATTCCACCTGGCAGAGGAGAGCAGTACTCCTCTGAGGAATATCACGTTTATCACATTCAAAATAGAAATGCTGCTCCATTTTCCATGTGTTTGTTTTGGGTCTCAGCTCTGCGGCTCCTGCAGGGGTTAAAGCCCGTAGACCTAACAGGCTTGGAGGATAAAATGCTTCTGTCTCCCTCTCCTCTGTCCTCGCTCAGTGCTTGGTGTTTGAAGACGCTCCCAACGGCGTGAAGGCGGCACGGGCCGCGGGGATGCATGTGGTGATGATTCCCGACGACAACCTGGACCCGGGCCTCACCCGGGAGGCCACGCTGCGACTTGGGAGCATGGAGGCGTTTGAGCCGACGCTCTTTGACCTGCCGGCCTTCGACTGAGCCACAATCTCCACCTCAAACCGCCCCGCGTGCAAAGGAAACCATGACGGAGTGAGAGGGATTAGCAGCATACCTGAACATGTTGTGTGTGGACATTGATGATGTTTTTGTCGTAGCCAGTCAATTACATGTCGTTGTTTTCTGTCAGATGAGACGTCACAACAATGGACGATGTCACACATTTTATATTATTAAACCCTTGTGTTTACGGACATGAGCTTAATAGATTAATAGATTTCTGCTACGAAGCAGGAACACACTGTGGATCAGTCAGACACTGTCCTTGTTCCACATTGTGTTTAAGCGGTCTTATTGAAATGCTAAAGACTCGACTCCTCTCCTCAGTGTAATCCTGTCCTCACCCTTTCATCTCCGCTCATGTCCGCCTCAACACTTACTGCTATTCACGTGTCCCCCCCGTCCCCCCCCCGTCCTTTCGCCATGCGGGCTTTACCGGAGGCCCGCTGGAGGAGCCCGGTGCCTCGGATCCTCTCACGCAGCTGAAATAGGATTTCACTGCACTTCCATTCCACTTCCCCTCCTTGGCATCTTGGCCTTTCATCCTCAAGGAGGGTAGTCTCCTAAGCCCCCCCCCCCCCTCCTGCTCCAATCACTGTGTAGTTCCATTTTCCCCTCTCCTGGCCTAAAACGTGTGTGCGCCTTTCGGTCGTACCACAGAGGGATTGTAGAGTTAAGGTGGATGATAGATGTTGGAATCAAATAACGCTCCAAAAGGACTTCATCCACACGGTGTAACAGCATTTTGTCAGATGTGTAAATTAGTTACGTATTCATTATCAAATAAAGAAATCCATAACACAAGCCCAGAGTGTAATAATTCTGCAATTTTCATTTTTAATTAATTTTGACTTTGATTTCAAATTGAAGGAAGCTCAGGGTTATTTTCAGACATATGCATTAGATTCTCTGAAATAATGAAGGAATTCATATGCAATGTGTGCGGTCTCATTCAGTTCACCGTCTGTAGCGTCAGATGTAAGTGGCCACTATGGCTCAATATCAAAGACCCTGATTTTACAGAAAAGGGTTGGATGAAAGAAACCCTGATATTATTAATCCATCTGTGTATTAGTCTGTCAGAAAGGATTTGTGGTAAATAAAAGTTGAGATGAAAGCTGTAGCCATCCACAGCTATTAACATGTTCATGATGACTTCCAGAAGAGATCCATGGTTATCGTCGTCGGAAAACATGGAAACAGAAGGAAACTGTAGAAATAAGACTGTACCATTGAATTAGTGGGCATCTTCCAATGTTAGTCTTATTTCTATACAGTTTCCTTCTGTTTCCTTTGATGTGCGCAACACACACTGGACGAGTTACAACATTTAGACACCAGTTTATATAAAGTCTATGATGAGACTAGATGGGGCCAGAATTCTTCCTGGGCGGGGCAAATGTAGGCGTATGTGCCAGTTGGAAATGTTTTAACGAGTTAAAGTTATGAGCTCAACACAGACGACAAGTTCTCACTCCAACGCGTCAAATACCAAGGCTTGATCAGCGGCCCCTCGCTTTAAACTGTGACGCTCATGGTTCCCCTCGAGCGTCAGTTATAGACCTGTCAGGGACAACGTGTCACTTTCCGCTTCGCCACATGCATATAGTGTCTTTTCAAATGACATTTTCAATGTAGGTTTACTTAGTTTGTAAGTTTACTTAGGCAACAAAACTACTTTAGGCGACAAAAGTACATGGTTAGCCCTAGGAAAAGATCATGGTTTGGGTTAAAACAAATGACGTTAGTAGAGTACGGACGTTACGTAACAAAACTAGGGTAAAATATATCAACATTGACTTGGTTTCAAAAGGGACAAGAACAGCGGTCACCTGGGTTAAAGTCCTGTTTGTTTGAGCCTCGCCACCCACCATAAGTGAACTTCTTCTCTTCATACTGTGTCAGTTGCGCTGAGGGTCTAATAATGACGAAAGAATAGTGATTCTAATGCACACTGCATTCTCAGGTGTGTTGCCATCCAACATCTTTTCCAGGATCTGAATGCACTTCGATTGATTAAGAGCAGGTGGAAGTGCACGCACTCTACAGCACTGATGTCTTTCTGCATGGAGTTTTCTTCGAAATTGAAATCCAGCTGGTGAAGGGTGTCGTGGAGCTTGGCATATTTCCTCTCATTTGTGCAGGCTCTGACCCATTTCAAGATAATGGTTTCCAACTTGGGGCTAAAATCATTTTTCAGCCTGGCTTTTTTGCCATACTTTAAACAGCTTTCTCCAGGCTTTTTGGCTCGCTGGCTGTATAGTGGGTCAGCCATTCAATTGGCCCCACGTCGCTCTGAACATACCTGTTCTAAAATCCAAAATTCTTCAGTGTTTCCCATGTCTGCCAGTCACCCTTCTCTTTTATCATCGCAGCAAACCTTTTCAACTTGACTTCTGTCTGTGACAGAAGAGGGCAGGAGAGAGAAGCGGAGTGGCAGAGATAGCTTCCTGTCATGTTTCCACGGCTCCTATCCTCGACTGTGCTCTCGACTGATAGGCCAGAGTGGCTGTGGGACACGTTCATCTTCAACGTTAGGTTTTACATCCCTATTTTATCAGCACTCAAGACAAGCAGCTCTCCTCTAGAGGCAAAGTCGAAAAACACTGGACGCCAGAGAAAGACATTGTATGGATGACCTCATTTTGAACATTAAAGCTTTTTTTTTTTCTCGTCTTAAGGGGCTGCAGAACAGTACTTCTGACAAAATGTGGAAAGAGCAGGATGGGGAAGCTCATCAGATAATGAAGGCAGGCCTCTTTCTGCACATTTCCCTCAATCCAGACGAGCAGTTTAAAAGATACTGATTGAATGTCATATCTTTGAGGAGGCGAGGAAGCAGCTTTTGTATTTTTCTTCGGGGGATTTGAAAAAAGTCATCACCTAACTGAAGGAAATGAGGGATTAAATATGCGGGAGCTTCTGTATTATAGTCAGGAAATCCACTCAGCAGCAGTGATGTAAGTATTTTAATTGATTTGTTTAACAGAAACAGTCATAATCCAAAAGTTTGCATCTAAATACTCCATAGTTAAGCGCATGTCTTTGTGTTTGCGGTCTAAAAGAAATCCTCCTTTTCTTCAATATACTTGGCCAAAACAAAGAACTCTTCCATGTCCAAGGTGGCAGAACTTTAGATAGACTCGATTTCTCTATTCTTGACACCACGAAGAAGCGTATCTTAAGTCGGCACATTTCCAAAGCACTGGCAATGGCTGAATTTCTAAGAAGGGTAGAGCACAGGAGAATGCCAAGAACCGATGGAAGTTGTTCCGCTGGATGACATTTCGTATTCCACTGCCAACGTGTGCAACCTCAACTTGAACCAAATGGGATTTCATGGAGATGAAGATATCGCAGGCCTCTGACCGCAAGAGGCACTTTGTCTGTTACGAGATAGGATGCACACACTGTGCTTTCTCCACTTACTATGAGACTCCATGCTTCCTCAGTGATGCAAATAGACCTCATGTTTTATTCATCTTCGAGTGATGAGAGAATAAATTTGATTACAGGAGCAGGTGATGGAGAGGACGATGTTGGGGAGCAGATTTGTGAACGCAGAGAGGGGTTTAATGCACAATTAAGGCCAGACAATATCAGATTAACATGTTTGGCAATAATGCTTTGTGGAATTAAACCCTAACTTCTTTGTTGTCTTTTGGTATCTTGGGAGTTTGATATAGAATAATGAGAATTGAAGAGTTTTTTTGTTTTGTTTTGTTTTAGATTTAGTTGACTGGGAAGAAAAATAATCCTGAGGTGAAACAAATGAATGGGACCTGAAGCAAGGCTGTATAGTTATGCACACTTGATCATACGCCACTGGGGTATCTGCTTGCTGTAGAAAGCTAATTCTCTTCACCAATCAGCGCAGAGCCTCACTCACCAACCAAAAGGTGGAGGACATGAGTTTGAATAATCCACGATTAACACTCACCATGTTGTGTCAAGGGACCAACAACACCACAGCTGGGTCGTCGAAGGAGGCTTACATCAGGAGGAGGTTCTGATGAGATGCCCACATGTGGAACGCGTGGTCTAAAAGTTTGAGGAGTTAAAGTCCAACTGAAATAAAATGAAGCCATCCCTTTCTGCAGTCAAACACAATGTCAATGTGTATTTTAAAGGTGTTGTGTTTTTAATTATGATAAAAAAAAAGAGATTTCAGAAATGCTGCTTTTCCTCTCAGCCGTGTCTGTCTGTGTCTGATTGGCAGCAGCTGGCAGCTTCTACAATGCTATAAGCTGTAGCCACATGTCATGGTAGAGCTTTGACTCTCCCATTGGACCCGACCTGACCCGATGGGTGTCATTTCTCAAAATTCCTCCGGGCTTGAGCCAGGCTGGGTTTGTTTGTGTAATGACATGAATAATGCATGTTGCCATCAACTTACAGATGTATAGATCAGGTATTGGCTTTTTACTCACAAATATGTTATTGCACGTACAGTAATGAGCGTCGTTGCAGTCAAATAAGAGTATCCATCACTTCCCCTGGTTCGCGTCACCACAGCGCCTCTCTGCTCACGCTTTGTGTGTGTGTGTGTGTCTACATGTGCATAGATGGAGGAGCTCAGCCCAACAGAGAGAGCAGAGCAAATACACGCTGTAGCGTGATAATAAATTACATTGAAACATTAAAAAATACTCCCGTAATTTTGCACCAGGGCCCTTTTAATACCTGCTTTCAGAACGCTTCCCTACCTTCAGATAATGGCGGACTCTGTGGAAGAGGACCCGCTCTCTTAGAAGATATGAATGCCTTTTTCTAAGCTAACAAAAACACTATGAATCTTTAATTGATAATACACTTGTATTCCAGGTTATATTCCATTGCTGGCAATTAATGCCCCTAGATGTTACGCACTCTTCCTTTTACACTCCTGACTTCTCTCTCTTCATGAGGAGAAATGTCATACAGACTTATATGGCGATGGCAAATGACAGTTTTTGGGCTTTTCGGTGGGAGACGGTTTAAGTCAGATATCGTGTCACAAATATCTGTTTCCGCACTGAAAAAACGTTAGTTGACTTTAGCTTGTGATACATTTTTCATATATTTTTTTATGATTTTTTTTAACAGTTGAAATTTGGGTTTATAATTGGGCTTGGGCCTAAAACTGCTGCTGTGGTTCTGGCTCAGGTGCGGCCTGCATTTTGCGCTATGTAACAAGACCGTAATCAACCAGGAAACAGGGAAGAGTGTAGAGGTTGTGAACCAGGAAGTTGGTTTAAACATCTAACCATCTATGAGAGAAAAATGGAGGGAGATCTTCAGGAATTTGTTAACACTGGGCAAGCTGTAGTTGTTCTTTTATGTCTAGTATTGGCCATTGTTCCGGCTGTCTGGAGACGAAGACAAGCTTTGCACGTTCCGGGAATCATTCGGCAAAAAACACCTCAAGCGAGTGTAAAAAGTTTCTTTTCTTTAAAGGAAATTGAATTTTGCCGTTTCCATACAACTTGTTCTTCGTGCTATGCACTAACATTACCCCATCAAACTTTAATAATATCATCCATCCAACCATCCAACCATTTCTGCCACTTATCCAGACATGCTTCAAGGGAACCCCAAGGCAATCCCAAGCCAGATGAGATATAACATCTCTACAGCATGGTTTGGGTGATAGACGTGCTTGGAAAACCTACAATGGAAGGCGCCCAAGAAGCAGCCTAATCAAATCTTCAAACCACCTCATTTCAAAAGAGAAGGAGCTCTACTTGGAGCCCCATCCGTAACCACCCTATGAACAAAACTTGGTCGCTTGTATTCACAATCTCATTCTTTCTTTAGTAATGTAT